CCATTGAGGCCGCCTTTTCAAATTAACATACAGCACCCATTTTTCATCTCCGGTAACAATTTGCTCTAAAAACGGCAAACGGTTTTGACAAGAGAGGAGCGAACTGCAAATTGTGAGTCTTTGATTACGGTTGTTGTCGGTCAACTCATGAGGAACCCATTTTCCAAACTTTTGGACTTTGCCAAGTGCACGCAATTGATTGGAAATTGTTTTTTGTGAACAATTTAAAGTTGTCGCAAGCTCTTGTTGGGTAATTTGAGGATTTTGCACCAAAAGAGCTTGAAGAGCTTCTTGATCAAAATTGGTCACATGGCCTCGACCACTCTTGTCATCTAAGGAAAAATTTCCCTCGCGAAATTTCTCAAACCAACGCTGGCATTTTCTGGCGCTAACTGCATCGTGACCAAGAGCACTACAGATGTTTTTTGCAGCCTAACTTGCTTTTCTTCCTAATTGGAACTCGTAAAGCATGCAGTGCTGAATATGCTCTTCATCCGCCATCTTCTTAGCCCTAGTTTTGCAACAAAAACCAAACCAAACACAAACTTTTTCAAGCAAAACTTGTTAATTGCACTTCACACGTTCTGTAGATACCATGTGTTTGAAGGTTATGTCAATACAAGTCAACGCCAAGCAAGATTTTAAACAAATGTTTAAAAACGACATTAATTATTACAGACCCGATAGTTTTAGTGCTGGGTGGGATATCTAGATCTAATAACCTCTAACCTAGAGACATGGAGGTAAAAGTTAGAAAATGGCAGTGGGCTTGCTCAGTCCTGCCCCTCTGTTAAAAGCAAGTGCTGTTTGAATCTTAGTTTTAAGGTTACTTCGGCACCTGACTGAGATGCCTGAGATAGCAGATCCCTGATGAGTAGCAGCTGCTGGCAGACCTGTGCTCCAACTGCTTTAATTCATTGGCATTTCCTCCTTCCCAAGTTCTGTCAGTGAATTCCAGCCATCTTGCTTTGAATTATATACAGCCTTGTATTCCACGTTCATCTCATCCCTGTTAATAGATCGTAAAGTCCTTGCTTGGTCAAATGCCAAGAGCTCCAGGAATGGGGGTTTGGATCTGCCACTGATTTGGCAAAGATAATTTGGTTTTGTATGTTAGTGTTACCTATTTTATAATACAACTCTAGTCCCGGTGCATGGAAACTTGTGCACTGAGGGGGCGGAGGAGGAGTATCCTTCAGCCAGGCCTGCACCCTCTCGCAGTCTGGGACGCTTTGGAAGATATCCACCTGCCAGCTTAGGCCCACTCCCTGGGGGATCGGGCCTAAGCTGGCGGTCATACATCAATCAATCCCTCTGGCAGCCTGAGAGCCGTCAGGGGATGTCTGACTGATGGCTTAGGCCTGCTCCCCGCCTAAGCCGCTTTTGGACATCCTTAGTACTGCTGAGGAGGTGAGAGAGGCTCCTGCCACCGCTGCTGCGCTCCCAGCTGTGAGCCTGGCTTGTGACTGAGTGGAGCTCCCCCTGTGGGAGTGCACTGATCACCAGCGGGTAGCTCTGGCGTTGAGCATCTGCCCCCTGGTGGTCAGTGCGTGTAATAGCGACCTGTCATTTCCGGTTTTTCCACCTTTAGGGTCAATTTACATATTACCCTTTTATTACATAGGATTATTATATAGGATGATGACCTTTTGTCCTGTGGAGCAACTTGAAAATAAGTATAAAAATTATACCTCTTTGACATTCCAGATCCTTTTCACTTGGCATCATGGGTTGTCAGTGTTTGGTTTAGACCATGAAATCATCATACAGGTGTGACAAAGTCTGCATGGTTCAAAGTATGCTTTCAGCTCTTTTATTTAAAGTATGATTTTATTGATTTTTAGAGATAGAGGAAGGGAGAAGGATAGAGAAATAGAAACACTCATAGAGAGAGAAACATGAGTTAGCTGTCTCCTGCATGCCCCCTACTGAGAATCAAGCCCAAAACCCAGGCATGTGCCCTGATCGGGAATTGAACCAGTGATCTCTTGGTTCATGAGTTGATGCTCAACCACTGAACCACATGGGCCAAGCTGAAAATTTATCTGAAGATTTTAGGCCTAATATCTACAGGTTCATTAAAGTGGCCTCTGTCTCACATATAAATGCATTTATTATTAGCATTTCTGTTTGGTTCTTCTCTTTAAAATTTATAAAATTATTTTCATGGTAAATATTTTAAACCGTAGTAGAATGCAGAAGGAACATGAATGAATGTTCCTCTTCACCATTCTGCAGCAACCCCAACATACGTTTCCCAGGGGTACCCAGCACTGGGTGAGCACTGTTCCCACCGCCTTCCTCAGGGGGTCACTTATATGCTTACCTGCGGGGCTCATATTCTGTGTATTATATATACAGTGGCTTTTTCCCCCCACTTGCCCATAACAAAGTATGTCTTGGGGACTTTTTCCATGTCAGGCCGTATGGGTCCAACTCATTTTCTTTTCTTGCCTTTGTTGTCACTGTTGTTGATGGTTATAAAAGAATTCATTTTATGGGTGCACCTGGTAGTTAACTGCTCACTATGATGGTCATTAGATGGGTTTTTGTTTTGATTCTTCATGGACGCAGTCTGTGCAAGGACGGGCCTCGGTGTACTGTGCAGCGTTTCCGTTGGACAGTTGCCCAGAAGTGGAAATGCTGGCGCGAAGTGGATGCCTATTTTTGGTTTTGGTGATGCTGCCAAACTGTCTTCCCACAGGAATTCACCAATTTAAACTCATACCAGTGGAGTTTAAGAGTGCTTGTTTCCCTGTCATTATTTTCATTTTTCAGTCTGCTAAGTGAAAAATAGTATGTGATTATTGTAATTTGCATTCTTTTGGATTATATTTCTGTAGCTCCCACCTTATCTGATTTTTGCCTTTTAGGAATTCCTCAGTGTTGTCAGTTACTTGATGTCTGTCTGTCTTTCTGTCTCTTTATCTATCTATGTATCATCTATATATCTATGGTATAGGGTGAGAATTATTTCTATCACTTGATTGAACTTTTACAGGAAGTTGAGTAAACTTAGTGCACTCAATTCACTATCCTAAGAAATTTCTCTCACATATTCTTTCTCTATAGTATTTAGAATTTTGTTTCTTTTTTCCCCCTTAACATCTATACTATTAAGGGTAATATTGCTAATTAGACCGGGAGACCTTCTGGATGTCCTTCCGGACAAAGCCCTGGTGGTGGGGCCAAGGCAAAGGCAGTTAGGGGCATTCAGGCCTGAAAGGGAGGGAAGTTGGGGGTCATTTGGGGGTGATCAGGCCAGCAAAGGGGGTAAGAAGGCAGGTGGGAGGTGCAGTTGGGGGCAAGCAGGCTGGCAGGCAGAGTAGTTAGGGGCGATCAGGCAGGCAGGTGAGTGGTTAGGAGCCAGTGGTCCCAGATTGCGAGAGGGATGTCTACTCCTGGGCCTAAACCGGCAGTCAGAAATCCCCCAAAGAGTCCCAAATTGTAGAAGGTGCAGGCTGGGCTGAGTAACACCTCACCTCCCCATGCATGAATTCATGCACCAGGCCACTAGTTATATTATAATCTCTATTCTGTCGTATTGCATAGCAGAATAACTGGTATATGAAATTCTGCTATGGGTCTATACCATAGTTATCAAATCATTCTCTATTGGTAGACTTTTGGATTATTCCAGAATTTTGTTGTCATAAAGAACATTTCTTCCAAGCCCAGATGGTTTTGCTGGTGATTGTTTATCGTTGTAGTGCTCCATGTCATTGATTCCTGAATGTAGACATGTGCAGATTGTGATCAAAACCCAATACTAATACTATTCAATAGCAACAGCAAAACAGCAAAAACTTTAGACCGGTCTCAGTTATGAATGCAGATGTGAAAATTGTAAAGAAAACACTCTCAAGTAGAATTCACCAGCATGGCCATAATGGAGAATGGCCAAATAAGGTTTTTGGTTTATTTCAGGAATCAAAGAATCACTCAGTATTAAGAAACCTGTAGATAACAACAAATTAGTTAGTTAAATGTGAAAAACTGATTATCTCCAAAATGCAGAAAATGCACTTAAACAACTATTTTTAGTAATACTTTAAACAGGAAAAAATAAGATATTTATTTTACATGTTTACATGTATCAAACCAACTGCCAAAAACATTAGAGACATTCTCATTAAAAGCAAGGCCAAGATAAGGCTGCCCTCTACTAGAGGGTTTTATTTATTTATTTTTAAAAATACATTTTTGTTTATTTCAGAGAGGAATGGAGAGGGAAAGAGAGAGAAATATCAATGATGAAAATCATTGATCAGTTGCCTCCTGCATGGCCCCTACTGGGGATCAAACTCGGAACGCAACCCAGGTGTATGTGCCCAGACCAGGAGTCAAACTGTGACCTTCTGATTCATAGGTCAAATTCAACCACAGAACCACAATGGCCAGGCTACTTAGAGTATTTTAGAAGGTCTGGCCAATGCAGTAAGGTGTGGAATCAGAGTTAAGTCTTTGAGGATTAAATAAGACTGGATTTTAACCTTCCTAGTATAGTATTTTTTATTCAAATAAGACACTGAAATTATAGATTCTGTCGTTAATTTTTTATTACCAATAAGACATATTCACCAAGGAAAGACAGATTGTCTCTTTCATCTTAACATGTGTATCCCTGTGTTTTCCTGGATGTGAGCCCTGTGATCTTGCTCCTGGTGGTTGAATTGTCCGATCATCTCTGGTCTGTGTGGGCACCCGCTTAGCGATGGGTGCCCAGGCCTGCGACTGGCCGAGCAGTGTGGTTCAGTGGTGTCCTGATGACCTTCCAGTGAGCTGTTCCCAGAGTCCCGGGAGTCTTCAGAGGACCAGCCCCGGGCGGAGTGAGTTCCGCAGTTATAGATGAGAAGGGTGCAGAGGGCCGCTGGGTAAGCTGCTGCCGGCCTTTGTCAGAGCCAGGTGGAAGGGCCTGAGCATCACACAGGATTCCTCCCCCAGCAGCTAGCTGCCTCCAGATTGGGTTTGTGATTTCGGCCTTTCTTCTTTCTCCACAGCATCTGGAGAGGGCCCAACGTGAACTGTGTAGACAGTACGGGGTACACCCCTCTGCACCACGCTGCTCTGAATGGCCACAGGTAAGTACTGACCTGCCGCCTCCACCCGCCCTTCCGCACAGGCCTTCCGCCTTTGGGTTCCTATGAAGGATTACTGAACAGTTGTGCTGAGAAAAAGAAACTGAATCTAGCCCAGCATTCCCAAATCTCTTCAGTGTGTAACTACTTGAACCTCCTTCCCCACTCACCCCTCAAAAGGCTGGGGCCGAAGGTTGAGTTTCCGTTTTCTCCTGTGCCCTCCTCCCCACCCTCCGGAATGTGCAGCCACAGCATCTAATGTGCACGTCAGGTTTGGGGCAGAAAGGGTGGATCATCTGCCAGGTAACAGCCCCTCTAGACACTGAAAATTGGTGGGTTGGTTCTGAGAACCTTTCCTTCTATTAGGTAGTTACTTATCTACTTTTGCCATTTTTTCTCATAAAATTAGCCTCATGGACAGTAAGCACTATTTTTAAGGAAAGAAACACTTGCAAAATAAGGCCTATTTAAATCTCTTCCTCGTACATACAGAGAGACTGTTGGATGGGGTGGGACTGTTGGAGCGTTTTCTGGAGCTGTGCTTGGGGATTGGGAGAAGAGGGCGTCAGTGTAAATGGTTGGCAGCTGAAAGAGGAGACTGAAGGCTCCGCCAGGGGCAGGCGCGTGTGGGGTACAGTGACGAGGCCCGCCAGGATGTGGGGGGATGGGAACCAGGCCGTCCAGAATAGAGGGAGATTGGCACGTGCCCTGTGAGATTATGAAGAAGGTTAGCTTTCATGAGGAGGGGTTATTGGAATGACGTTAGATTTTTTCTGAACCAGAACAGGGCCGCACACCTTGTGGTTTCCCGTGTCACTGTGCAGCCTTTGGCCAGGCCCAGCTGACTGATTGTTACCTTCGACATGAAACTTTTCTCAGATACACTGACTGTGGTCATCACGTCCTTTCTGTGCCATTTTAGACAAAGCTAACAAGACATATGTAGAGACCCTTAAATAGTGGGGAGATCTGAATTAAAGTGGATCTTGAACTTAAAAGACTAGCTTGTTAGCCAAGTTGACCTCCAGATGCTGTCTGTGTTTACCGGGGGGCTTTTCTTCCGCCTTGTGCGTGAGGATAATTGTACATTTGTATCTGCTTAGCCAGTGGTGCCACCTAGAAGAATGCCGGGCCCTTCTTCCTGGCGGTAGCAAATGACACACAGGGTCTGGCTCATGTTGGCAGCGGCTTTACTTATGCTCTGCCTGGCCCCTTCGGCTCCCACACACTGAATGCTGTGAATCAGCGGTCTGCGAGGTCCAAAAGGCTGGCGACAGCTGTTCTGGATGATGATATTTGTCTTGCATGACGTTTATGCAAATTCTGTCCCTCAAACAAGGAGACATCGCAAAGCTTAGACAAGGGGATCAGGCGTTTTCAAAGTAATGGAAAATGGATGATTACTGAGATAAACAGGGAGGCAAAGAGCCAATGTTGTGGGACACAGGGTGGCCGGCCCATGCCCGCGACTGTGCAAAGCCGCCCCTGGAATAAAAGGAAGAGGCTGGGCATGAACTCGGGTGGCCAGGGAGCAGGTGAGGTAACAGCCGTGAGCCGCTTGGTGCTGTGCAAGGGTGTGAAGAGCCGTTGGTGGGAAAGACTTGTGGGTTCTGCAGACTCACAGCTGACCTTTGCCTTCCAGGGATGTGGTCGAGGTTCTGCTGAGGAACGACGCGCTGACCAATGTGGCTGATTCCAAAGGCTGCTACCCTCTGCACTTGGCAGCCTGGAAAGGAGATGCCCACATCGTGCGGTTGCTCATCCATCAAGGGCCCTCTCACACCAGAGTCAATGAGCAGGTTGGAAGGAAGGGGAGCATTCTTCTGTTCAGCTGCAGCCATGACCTCGCAGCCCCTCGCCGCTCGGTCCCTTAGCTCAGACCTCGGGAACCGGCTCTTCCAGGCCCGAGGGTGGCTGCCTCCGCCCAGCACCACGCCTCTTAGTGCATCAAGATCTCACTCCATGAGATGTATTTTATCTGCACGTGAATCATGCAGGCGTGGAATAATACTAACACAAATATACATATTAACTTACGCAAAATTTGAAATAATGCAAATTCTGCAAAATTGCTTAGCGACTATTTCAAGCTGGCGGGCTTCATTAATTGCAGATTGTGCTTATGCCACCGACATGGCATTGCGACGTCAGCTGGTAAGCAAGTCTCCGGTGCGTGTGAGTACCCAGCGAGCCATGCTGCTGTCTTACAGGAGGCAGAACTCTCAGCCCTGGAAGGCCGGAGCCTGGCTGACAGTGGGCTCCCAGACACGCGGTTGAGGCAAGGGGGTCTTCACGGAATGCAGATCACCTCACTGGCGCCCTCTAATGTTAATTTAAGAGTGAGCATGCTGTGACAGAGCAGAGGTAGTTCTTAGAAAATAAAGAGCATTTGAGTAAAAATACCTCCCGTGGCCATAACTTAGGTACTCCTATTGCTCTGGGAAAGTTATAAGCATGTTCTAGACAGGCCTCCTGTAAAGTGCCCTAAAGTTTGGGTCTGAGAGGACATGGGCTTTCCCTGTAAGACAAGCCATCCTGCTCTCCTCCTGTGCTCAGCACCGCAGCAGATACTTAGTTGCTTGAATGAGAGAAGCTGCTGGTCCTTGCTGAGCGTAGGATTATTTCCTGATGACTCTGCTGAGAGCAGATTGCTAACTACCTGTCTGATTAGATCGGGGTTATTCCTTAAAAAGGAGGCGAGGACTCGCAGAGCTACCTGTCAGTGAGGCCAGCACACCCCCTCCATGTGCTATTAGGGCGCGACTGAGTTGGGGCAGCTTCACCCCAGGGCATGAGAACCTGAGCCAGGGCTCCCCACGTTCCCATCCAGAGAGTGTGTGTGGAGCCTCCGTCCCCTCCTGGGCTGTACTTTTTGGTGAGCAGCAGACACTTAAAGTAGTCAGTGAGGGTGTTTGCTTTCATAACCTTAGAAATGACAGTGGTCCCTGTAGACTCTAAATGCAACTTTCTCCTCCTGGCTAAAGTGATTGTAATTTTTCTTATCTGGAGGAAATTTGTAAGGAAGTTTGCTTTTAAATAATACTCCTCAATGTTGGAAAAAGCTAGTCGGCCACTAAAGTCCTCAAAAACGTGTCAGGAACCGTCTCTAACCCTCTTTGCTCACGGCCGCCTTGGAGCACAGCTGCTTGGACTTTTGAGCCACTTGAGTGTGCCAGCTTGTCCTGCTCACTGCCCCCGGACTAGTCTTTGTGGGACACATCCCAGCACTGTGAGGGCGGGGCCGGCAGGTGGGCGGGGCCGGCAGGTGGGCGGGGCAGGGCTGGGGTAAGACAGCTGCAGTAGCTTGAGGAACCTAATGGACCCAGGTCGTTCCAGATACTGCATCGATTTACGTGGCTGCCATGACTGTTTCAGCTGGATGCTTGGATAAGCAGGGCTGATGCGTGCCGAGCCCTGGAGACCGGCCTCCCCATTAACTTCCCTTCAGGCATCCGGAGGGCCGGTCCCAGTTGTGCTAATGTTGGGCCCCTCGGGGCTGTGCAATTGCTTTGATGTATTTCATCCATTTTATCATCACATTTTCTTTTCCTTTACTTTTTGTAGAATGCTCTTGAGATCAAAGAACTCAAAAAGCACGGCCCCTTTGACCCTTATATCAATGCCAAGGTGTGTACTTTGCTGTCAGGATTTCTCTGCATCATTTCTCAAAGCTGTGCTTTCTCCTGGGTCCTCTCGGCTTCCCTCTGTCCCCTCGGGGTTCTTACTCTGGTGTCTGCTTCAGCGACTGCCTCGGCCTGCCTGGGAGTGGAAAATGCAGCTTCCATGGGCTTGGTTTTGCTTTAAATCCATACTAATTCTGGAAGGCTGGGTGCTTTTTCTGGAATGTCTGAAAAGTGTACAAGTAGCAGAAATGGGGAAAGAGATGGGGCCATATTTGCATAAATTACTATTATATTTCTAACATTTAAATAAAAAAAAAGTCAAACTAATGAGCTTATTTTTTATGAAGCACAGAAAAAAATTATGTTTTATTTCTGGGATTAAATTTTTTTAGTCTGCGTTCTATGTTTCTCTTGAAATGGAATCTGGTTTTCGGGGGCTTGTGGCGGGCAGAGGGAGGTGTGGGCAATGGACATGGTGGCTTAAAATTGTGGCTCATGCCCCCTCAGTTCCTTGGGTTTGTGCATTTTTGCCTGGGACTTGAAAGCCACCATTCCTCTCCCAGCTGGTCACTCTTGGCCGTTGGAAGGGCTCTGAAACAGGCCGTGGAGTTCCAAGTCAAGCAGGGCAGTTGCACTATCTTCCTCCCGTGAGGCTGGGCAGCCTCGCTGCCCCGCAGCCCTCACCACGTGATGGCCTCGTGTGGGTGGTGGTGGTGGTGGTAGCCTCTTCTCAGCACTCTCACCTGCTGTGTTGATCTGAGTTTTCGTTCAGGTTGGATTTGCTGTCTGGCAGCAATCTGGTATTTGGTTGTCGCTGCCTTTTTCTTGCTCTGAATTGCCGCTCGGGGAAGGAGACGGGAGGTGCTCCTGCCGGGACATTGTGCTTTTCTGAGAAATACTGACTAAATGCAGCTGCCTGCCGCTGGACTGGACAGCCTCCGTGCCGTTGGGCCTGGATGGTAGGGAAGCAGTTTGATGTGGGAGAGAGGGACACATTAGCTTTTGTGTGGAGCCACTCTTTAAATTCTGTCTCCTGATCTTCAAAATAGGAGTCACTCTGTCTCAGTTTTCTTCTCTTCTTTTTTTTTTTTTTTAAACATATTTTATTGATTTTGTACAGAGAGGAAGGAGAGAGATAGAGAGCTAGAAACATTGATGAGAGAGAGTCATCAATCAGCCGCCTCTTGCACATCCCCTACTGGGGATATGCCCGCAACCAAGATATATGCCCTTGACCGGAATCGAACCCGGGACCCTTCAGTCCCCAAGCCGACGCTCTATCCATTGAGCCAAACCGGTTTCGACATGCTAAAGAACTTTTGCTACTAAATCATATCACGCACCCATCTCGGGGGCCTTTCTGGGGAGTGGAGGTAGTTTTCATCTCCACCTTCCCTTTTTAACAATTTATATAACCCAGCCTAAATGTAAGTCCTTAGCTAAGATGGAACCATTGAAATTGTTTTTTTCTTTTACAATAATTTTAACTTAGTCTGAATATCATAAGATGAGCAACAGATTGTTTTAGGGTAGGTATATTTTTCTATACACTTAAAAATAATTTAATCTTAGCCTGGCCAGTATTTCTCAGTGGTTAGAGCATCAGCCTGCACACTGCAGGGTCTCGGGGCTGATTCCTGGTCTAGGGCCTGTGCTTAGGTTGCAGATTTGATCCCCAGACCCAGTTGGGCACATGCAGGAGTCAACAAATCAATGTGTCTCTTTCACGTCGATGTTTCTCTCTCTCTCCTCCCACTCTCCCTTTCACTCTCTCTTTAAAAAATATGTGGTATTTCAGAAATATCACATTATACGTTCCTTTTTAAATGGAAAAAATATCCTGGGGTGAGGATTAAAAAACAAACAATTTAATCTTGGAGCTTGACGAGACCTGGAAGTTATCTAGACCAGCGGTTGCCAACCTTCGCACCTCACGGACCACCGGTTGGTGACACTCATCTAGACCAGTTGTCCCCACATGCTAGTCAGCTTGTCTGGTTGCAACAGAATCATCTAGCAAGCTTTTATTAAACTTTCGTTTTTTAAAAATTCCCAACTTACACAAGTTGCAAGAATAATGCAGTGAACTGCACTGTGCTCTCCTAGATTAACCAGTTCTTAGCATTTTGTTATATTACCATATCCCTCGCATATATGTCGCTGTTGATGCAGTTGATGATGGACTATTTGAAATTATGACATTGGAGCTTTAGCCCCAAATACTTGAGCCGTATCTCCTAAGAGAGATATTCACTTGTATAACCATAATGCAGTGATCAAATCTAGAAAGTTCAACATTGATTTAATGCTGTTATCCAATATAGAATCATGTTCAAATTTTACTAATTGGCTCAATAATGTCCTTTAGAGCAGTGGTCACCAACTGGTGGTCCATGGGGTCCGAAATTAGAGCAAATTTGTTTTCCTGGTCCAGGATCCAACCCAGGATCATACGAGACCTGGAACAGCTCCTCCGCCTTTCACTGCGTTGGCAGTTTGAGGAGTGTAGGCCCATTTTGTTGACTGTTCACCAGTTTGCATTGGTCTGATACCCTCGTTCCTCATGGTTTATGGAGGGGAACCTTAGGAGACATGTCATGTCCCTCCTGTTTAGTGTGCCACAGCACGGGCCCGGCTGTCAGTCTGTCTCACTCCCGATGGTGGTGACTGAATGCTTGGTGGCTGGGTGCTTGCTAGGTTGGTAAGGTTTTTTTTTTTTTTTTTTTTTTTTTTTAATATGTTTTTATTTAATATGATTTCAGAGAGGAAGGGAGAGGGAGAGAGAGAAACATCAATGATGAGAGAATCATTGATCGGCTGCCTCCTGCATGCTCCCTACTGGGGATCAAACTCACAACCTAGGCACGTGCCCTGACTGGGAACTGAACCATGACCTGCTGGTTCATAGGTTGACACTCAACCACTGAGCCAAAGCTGGCTGGGTTTGGTAAGCTTTTTAATAATATTTCCTGGGCTTTACCCTCTGAAGTACTGCTTTGGCAAGTCTGGGGCGGGGTTTAGTATTAATCACTTTAATTCCTAAACGAAACCAGTTAGAGAACCACTGACCTGAGCTAACTCCCCACCCAGAGCAGGAATCTTCTCTTGCCTAAAAGGTGGCCATCTACCTCTTGTTTGTTTCTCTTAGTAACAAGCAAAACTACTTTTTGGCAGCCTCTTTCAGGATCCCACTGATTTTTGGTTTCTTGTGCAGTTTGACATCTGTCTTCCTAAATAAACCTTCATCTCTCGGTCAGAGCCTGCCTTCCAGAGCATAACTGAGCAAGTCTAACTCCTCCCCGGGGCGGACTCACTACTCACGTTTCTCCTGAATCTTCTGAATCTCAGTAGACCCAGTTCGTCCTTTTGTTCCAGTTTTGGTCCATTTCTCAAGCCTGTACCATTGAGGCTACAGAGGGCTGCAGCCCAGGTGCCTCAGGCTCAGCGCCTGTCCAGCTGCGAATGATGGTTCTGAATGGTGCCAAGGAGAGAAAGGCCATGGAAGTGTTTCTGTGTGGTTGTCTGCTGCCTGTAGAGAGAGAGAGAGAGAGAGAGAGAGAGTGTGTGTGTGTGTGTGTGTGTGTGTGTACGCTTAAATCTAATAGATTTACACATTGAATGGGGGTTTCCAGGTATAAAGGCTATGAGGGATCGCTTTTGTTTTAGAAGTACTGACCATATATAGCAAGGAAAAATGATAGGCGGGCCAAAACCGGTTTGGCTCAGTGGTAGAGCGTCGGTTTAAGGACTGAAAGGTCCCAGGTTCGATTCCGGTCAAGGGCATGTACCTTGGTTGCGGGCACATCCCCAGTAGAGGGTGTGCAAGAGGCAGCTGGTCGATGTTTCTTTCTCATTGACGTTTCTAGCTCTCTATCTCTCTCCCTTTCTCTCTGTAAAATATCAATAAAATATATATTTTTAAAAAAATGATGGGCGGGAATGGAGGGTTCAACAAGGACAGAAAGGAATCTCTCTCTCCCTCCTCCTACCCTCCATTCCACTCTCTGTCCAGTGCAGAATTTTGGAGAAAATTGGGGTATTTCATCTCAGTCCCCTTCCTCAGTCCAGATTCATAGTAAAATGATCTAGGAAACTCTGTGCTGCAATTTGGAAGGTGTGGGAGAGAAGGTTCCAGGCGGTGAGAAGCCTGCGCTCCTTGGAACCCTCCCCTTCTCGAGGGATCAGCACTTAGCGCCCTCCTGCTGTGCGGCTGTCAGGCTCACGGTGATGCCCCGTGGCCAGTAGCCGAGAGATGTGCTCACCACAGACATAAACTTAGGATTATCGTGTCACTGACTGTGCCCAGCAAGGCTGCAGCACAGTGAGATGCGTCCGGCTGCACCTGAGCCTGCCGTGCTGCGGAGACTGGTCAGGCACTTCGGCACGCGGGAACTTTGCCTGGTAGTGATCACCCTTGTTAATAAGGCAGCTTTGTGGCAGCTGCCTTCGTTCAGGCAAAAACGAAACAAAACACATGGGGGAGACTGATTTCCTGCTGGGGAGTTTAGAGTTTCACAGTTGGCATGCTTTTTACAAAATCAAGGACAGATTATTCTGGTTGTTGGGAAACAGCTTGGATATAGAAGAGACAACAGTGTCTGCTTCACAGTAAACAAGGCCTTCTGGACTGGCGTTTTTAAAAATATATATTTTATTGATTTTTTTACAGAGAGGAAGGGAGAGGGATAGAGTTAGAAACATCGAAGAGAGAGAAATATCTATCAGCTGCCTCCTGCGCACTCCCCACTGGGGATGTGCCCACAACCAAGGTACATGCCCTTGGACTGGAATCAAACCTGGGACCTTTCAGTCCACAGGCCGACGCTCTGTCCACTGAGCCAAACCAGTTTTGGTTGGACTGGCGTTTTAACAGGAACGAGCTGGCTTCCTGGACACTCTGTGTCACGCCGACCTGCGACGTAGCCCTGATAGTCCTCCCGCAGGAAGCACTGTGGGTCTTGTGGGTGTGGCCGTCTTGTCACAGGAGAAGATGCAGTGACAGCTCCAGGTTTGCTCAGGCAGCTCACGCGTAGCTTCATAGCTTGCACGTTCCAAATACGCATCCTAAATGGTTGGTTTGGCTCAGGGAACCCAAGGATTTGCTCCCTGCCCCATGTTCCCCCTTCCCTTCTGACCTGTAGGTGGACACGGAGTTGCCGTGGGGGAGGCCACTCCTGACTGGCTGCGTCTATGGCCTGCGGGGGCCGCACGCCTCTGCTGCTGCTCTCCCGCCCCCTTAGAGCTCAGTGCCTATCCGTTTATCTGTGCGCATACATCTGGCATGTGGTCCTGCTACCGCCCTTTCTGTCCTTGTTTCTTTTTTGAGTTTCTCTGCTCTTTCTGGCCTCTTGGGGCTTTGCTCCCCACAGCTCTGGACCTTTCTGGTACACGCAGGCAGCTGGAAAAAATGATGCAGTCAAATGCCAGACCAAAAGCAGATGAATTGCTTGCATGTTTGGGTGACTTCTTAGCCTGTTACTTTCCCCTCATTAATTGACTTAAAGCAGTTAAAGTGGAAACATTTACTTTTTACCTCTTAATCACTGAAAGGTGCATAATATTAACTTGATGGACAAACCCTCGTAAGCTTTGTTTCCCTAAAGAAGCTTCCGAGTGAACTCAGGAATCTCAGAATCTCTGGTGGAATTACCTTCATCAGAGCTTTTACGAAGGAAGGGGCATGGAGATCTAATTCTTGCTCTAATTATTCTTGCTCTAATTATACATTGTCAGTTGTAATCATTGGAATAATTAATAGTTTGCTTCTGATGGTTGAAAAAGCACAAACTTCTCCTATTTTATCCTGGGTTCTACCTTTAGTTTGAAGCACATCGGCTTCCAGGGCCTGAGGTGTCCATCTGAATGGATGGTTACAATGTGGAATATTTTGCACCTTTCATGCAACATTCTGGTGTCGGATGGAATCTGCCATGTAGACACGCTTCCCCGCTTGCTTGGCTGGTGCAGACAGCACTGGGCCTGCTCCTCTGTCACTGACTCCAGGGCCCCCTGCCCCGGAGACGGCTGCTGGCTGGTATCGCCATAGTGGTTTTGGTGTTCTGCTCTGTTGCTTTCCTTGTCGGCTGATTTATTTGCATGCAAGAAGCTGAGCACATGACACACTCTTTAAAATGTGTGTGTGAAGCAGTGGATGGTCAACAAATGCAGAGTCAGAACCTCAGGATTGAGTAAATATAAATTGTAAAGCCAGTTGAAGTTTAAAATGAGTCAGTGGCAGTAATATTATTGGCATTCATCTGTGCCAGGGTTTCTCCCACGGCCCGCCACAGTCCGGTCACTCCGGGCCCGGAGCCCCTCCTCCAGCACAGGGGGTGCCGCTCCCCGCCTGCAGTAGCTGGGAAAGGGGGGGCTGTGGGAGCAGTCGGCCTTGCTCCCTGGGGAGTATCTCTGGGTTCTGACTGGCTTCTCTTAGTCCCCACGTATTGCTGCTATTTTCTCCTTTAAACTTCAGTGGTTTTATGGATGATTGTCTCAGTCGCCGGCCCCTCTGTCAGTCCCCACTCTGATGTGATCTGCTTGTTAACTCCTTAGAACAATGACAACGAGACGGCCCTGCACTGCGCGGCGCAGTACGGCCACACGGAGGTGGTCAAGGTCCTCCTGGAGGAGCTCACAGACCCCACGATGCGCAACAACAAGTTCGAGACGCCCCTGGACCTGGCTGCGCTCTACGGGCGGCTGGAGGTGGTGAAGATGCTCCTCAACGCGCACCCCAACCTCCTGAGCTGCAACACGAAGAAGCACACCCCCCTGCACCTGGCGGCCAGGAACGGCCACCGGGCCGTGGTGCAGGTGCTCCTGGACGCTGGCATGGACAGCAACTACCAGGTAGCGGCCCGCGGGCCTCCGGCTCCCGGGCTTACCCGTTCCCGAAAGGCACCGTGCCGTGCTGCTGGGCTGTCTCTGAGCACGTTCGCACCACGTGTCAGACGCTTCCATTTGTTGGCTCGTTGTCCTGGGAGGCTAGAGGCCAATAACTCCCCGAGTGAGGCTGTTCTTTCTGTTTCTTTCCAGGGGTAATATGTACTCATTATACCCTGAAAAGAAGTGATTGTGGATGAGCTCTTGAGATTAGAACCGTTTCATTATCTTCCTCCACCCGAGTCTCACTGCACGCCAGCCCTCCAGGCCCCTCGGCTGGGCTCTACCAAAGGAAGATAGCGTTTCCCTTGTTGACTCGCTGGCTCTGTCCAGGAATGACCGTCCCACAGCTGGCGAGGCTGCCTTGGGGCCTGTGTTGTGTTGTATTAAAGCTTTAAGTAGGCTTTCAGTCAGGCTTCTCACTGATCAGACCTCACTTGAAAGAGTGTTTTCCCCTGGCGTTTTCCTTATGACTCGTCCATCCAGAAAGGTGGCGTTTTGAGGAGGCGGCTCCACCGTTAGCCGGGTGTGGCCTGCTGGTGGCATAGCAACCCCTAAGGGCCAGGTCAGGGGGTTTTGGAATCCAGACAAGAAAAACGGGAAAGATAATGATAGAGGACTTGGCATCGTATTTTTTATTTTCCTGTCCCTTCTTGTCTCTGTCTCTGTCCCGTTTGTCGTGTGTGGCCACGCCAAACTGGGCGGCCGCTGTTCTGACGACACCCGCTCTGCGCTCTCGTTTGCTTTCCAGACGGAGAAGGGCAGTGCTTTGCATGAGGCCGCTTTGTTTGGCAAGACCGATGTGGTGCACATCCTGCTGGCCGCAGGTGAGGTCGGCAGCGCATGGTCCGCACGCATGCAGGGCCGGGCTGCTTTCCCCGGCCTCCCCGAGGGGCCTTTTGCTGGCTGCACTTGAACCCATTGTGTGTGTGTCTCCACTGGTTGATTGCAAGTGTGCAGATTGTTCATGGATAGCTGATTAAATGGCTTTGGATGAGAAACGTAGGGTGTGCAGCTGGGAGCCATAGGTGTCCTGGAACTGGACCCTCATGGAGGCTGACTTGCAAATGCTCACTCCACTGGTCCACCTGGTGTGCCTTTCTAGGAATTGACGTCAACATAAAAGATCACCGAGGACTGACCGCCCTGGACACGGTCCGGGAACTGCCTTCTCAGAAGAGCCAGCAGATAGCAGCGCTCATTGAAGGTATCCGTCCACCTCCTGCCGGGGACACAAGGACACGCCGCACGCTGGCCAGACCATGGCATTTGTATTTGGTGCAGCTTTTTTTGTTTGTTTTTTATCTTTCCATGTAGATCACATGACTGGAAAAAGAAGTGTGAAAGAGGTAGAGAAAACTCCCACACCCCAGCTACCTCTCATCGCCAACGTGGACTCCATATCCCAAAAGTCTCAGGGTAAGGCGGCTCTTCTGTGGAGGGGTGCCCATTGAGGAGTTGGACATTCTTCAGCAGAATGGAAAATCTTAACTTAAGTAATAATTTCAGGAGTGAGGAGGACTTTGTGTGCATTCACTGTGTGAAGCTGTACGGACACAGCTCAGCCCTTTGGCAGCAGACCCTTCTTGCCTACTTTATTTCGTTCTCTGCGTTCACAGCTGGCTCCATGAGAGCTGAGATGCATAGTAGGCAGGACACTCCCAGGATGAATTCAGATCTCAGTGAGACCTTATCCTAGTGTCGAGCATAGTTGGCTCTTGAGCGTGGTCATTGTGTACTCTGCAGCATGCAGTTGGTAGCTGTGTGCACGCAGATTTGGGTAATACGTCGTCTGGGTGCTCGGTTACTGCCAGGATCCCCCTTCTCGGTGTATTGGGCCGCCTTTGGGGCCCTTGGCGTGATGCATGAGAAACACAAAACACGGAGCCACACTGGCGCAGACACAAATGGCACTAGAGAGGCTGGAGGAGCAGAACAGCCAGGCAGCACAGGAGGGGCTTCGGGAGCAGAGACGCGGCTGATGGTGCTCAGTCTGGCTTCACTGCCGAGGCCGTGCCCTCTTCCCTGTCACACTTTTTTACTTTTTTAAATTTTAATATATTTTTGTTGATTTCAAGAGAGGAAAGGAGAGGGAGAGAGAGAGAGAGAAACATCAATGCTGAGAGAGAATCATTGATTGGCTGCCTCCTGCACACCCCACACTGGGGACCACGACTGAAACCTGGGCTTATGCTCTGTTCAGGAATTGAACCCTGACCTCCTGGTTCATAGATCAAGTCTCAACCACTGAGCCATGCCAGTCACATTTTTTTCTGACCTAATAATCTACTAGTAATGGGGTTAGGAGTTCCCTCAGCTCTTAGCATTCAGTGGTTTTACACTTACAGTTTTGTTTTCTTTCCTCCCTTCTTTCCTTTCTCCTTCCTTCCTTCCTTCCTTCCTTCCTTCCTTCCTTCCTTCCTTCCTTCCTTCCTTCCTTCCTTTTTTCCTTACCTGAAGATATTTTTCCATTAAATTTTTTTTTTTTTTAGAGAAAATGGAAGAGGAAAAGAAAGAGAAATATTGATGTGAGAGAAACACATAGATTGGTTGCCACCTATATGACCCCCGACCAGGACCAGGGCCTGGGCCTGGGTGGAGAGGAACCTGTAACTATGGTATGAGCCTTTCTTTGACCAAATTGAACCTGGGACCCTTTGGTCTGCAGGCCAATGCTCTATCCACTGAGCCAAACTGGCTAGGGCTACACTTACCGTTTTGACTTTACAAGCACCCTAGAGATCCCTGGTCTGTAAGGGGGGATCACGGCGGTCCCCAGGCTCTGAGTTCTCCCCGAGGGAGGCTCACAGTGGCCCGGCGCCGCCAGCTCAGACAGGGCCGCCTACTCCTGGAGCACATGGAGCTTCTCAGTAAGGATTTCAGGGCTACTTCCCTTTCTTTCTTACACTTCGCTGCATTTTCCGGTTCAGGTTTATGTTACTCTGGTGTCGAGATGTCTGGGAATTTGTGAGGATTGTGGGAGATACCAAGTGTGGTCCATATTGAATTAGAGGGAACTCTGCCCGCGTCTCGGGTGTGGAGAGCAGTGAGGCCTGTTTGTTCCACTCTTCGAGCAGCCCCGCCCCATGGTCTGGCTCTGGATCAGCATCCGTCATCTGGCTCCGAACGGGCTTTGGGCTGTCGCAGAGCTTGGAACTGAGACTGCTCTTGGTTGACTCTCTCCCTCTGACTTCCCTCCTCTGCAGGTGACGTGGAGAAAGCAGTGACTGAACTGATCATCGATTTTGACACAAGCGCTGAAGAGGAAGGCCCCTACGAGGCGCTGTACAATGCCGTCTCCTGCCACTCGCTGGACAGCACGGCCAGTGGGCGGTCGTCCGACCGGGACTCCGTGAACAAGGAGGCCGAGGCCGCGGGAGTGAAGGCTGCTGGAGTGAGGCCTGTACGTGGCTGGGGCCTCAGCAGCCTGGGCTCTGTTATCCCCTGGGCTTGCTGGGGTGTTGGGGGGCAGAGAGATTTGCACCCTCGTGCTAGCTCGCACGGAGGCCTCCTGGACTCTCTGCGGCTCCATCTCGCTCAGTGTGCTTAAACCCTAGGCCTCGTGGAGGTAGAATTTTGGTTTTTCCAATTTCAGTATAACCCGTTTGCATCTTTTTACTACTTTTTGGCATTAGAGCAGCTTAAAGCATTTCATGCATATTTAGTCTTAATGCTGCCCTGTGTTTGAGATCCTTGCCCTGTGGCCTGTTTTCTCCCTGGAGAGCAGTTCCAGCAGAAGAGCTCGCTGCAGCGAGTCCCCGTCCACCCTGAGTTCACGCCCACCTTCACTTGCCCTCAGACGCCCCCTGTGGATTTCTGTGTCAGAGGGCTGAAGCCACTTTTGGCCAGACATCGTGTGTATAGTGCGAGGCATTTCTGCTTTCCCGTTTCACCACTCTAGCCATTGAGGGCGGCCCTGACTTTCCCTCAGCCCGCCTTCCTGTCTCACTGCGTCTTTGTCTGGTGCTCGCCTCTGCTCTGGCCTCAGACGTTGTTCTCTAGCCGCCTTTACCCCATCTTCTTCCTGGGGTGTTACTGTGAGCCTGAGCCAGACTAGTGGTCCCACTGACCTTCCTGCATCGCTGACACAGTAATCTGGAGTTTTGAGCCCTGGTCGTTGACTAAACTGGCCATTCCGCTGACAGGATCCGGTACAATCCCACCTCGGGGTACATGGCCGTAGGTGTAGTTTCTTCCTAGGGATGTTAGGTGTTGCAGAGGCTGGCTTTCCTTTTGGTCTGCATCTGCTGGTGACCATTTGGGTGGCCTTTGGCTGCTAGGTGCTGCTGCTAGGTGATGCTGCTAGGGGATGCTTCTAGGTGCTGCTGCTAGGGGATGCTTCTAGGTGATGCTGGTAGGGGATGTTGTAGGTGATGCTGCTAGGTGGTACTGCTGGTTGCTGCTGCTAGGTGATATTGTAGGTTGTGCTAGGTGATGCTGTTAGGTGATAATGTAGGTGGTGCTGCTGGTTGCTGCTGCTAGGTGATACTGTAGGTTGTGCTAGGTGATAATGTAGGTGGTACTGCTAGGGGATGCTGCTAGGTGGTGCTGCTAGGGAATGTTTTAGGTGGTGCTGCTAGGGATGCTGTTAGGGAATGATGCTAAGTGGTTCTGCTAGGTGGTACTGCTAGGTGGTGCTGCTAGGGAATGTTATAGGTGGTGCTGCTAGGGGATGTTGCTAGGGGATGTGCTAGGTAATATTGTAGGTGGAGCTGGTATTGCTTGGTGTTCTTTTGAGTTAGGTTCCTTGCCCTTCCCTGGAACAGACCCCGCATTTCCATTGAAGCTTGGAAAGGCCAGCCAGTCTTTAGCCCACCAGCGAGGGTGTGGTCCAGGACTGTGGTAAACGTGTGAGTGGTGGAGGCAGCACAGGAGCACAGCGGCTCTGTGGACAGAACTGGGCTTTTCCACTTCTTTCACTGTTAGGACCAAAGAATTAAGCAGATCCACCTGTGGAGGAAGGCTTGCGTTCAGTGGTACTTACAGGTGATGCCCATTAGAGGGAGCTAGAGGCTTTGCAAGAAGGAAGCTTTAAATAGCCAAGTTCCTGTGGGGTTTGCCTGATTGAGTCTCTTTGTTCCATCTTCCTATAGAAACCCAGCCGCCTAGGGTCTTTCTAAGTAGAAACGGATGCATGTGGGGTGCTGTGCTCTGCCGTTTCATTGGAGTATGTTGTGGATGTGCTCCCTCCCTGGCTCTTGCTAATTAACTGTGGCCACCAGACTGTTCTGTGCCGTGTGAGCACCAGGGATGGCGTGTATAAGTCAGCTCTGTACTTCCAGGCCCGCGGCCAGCGCTTTGACGTTAGAAAAAGGATCATGCTTCCCTTTCCTGCCCGTTCCCTGGTGCTCACCTCTTTCTTGGTCAGGAAGCACAGCCTTGGGGGCCTTTGTTGTGTTTCTTTGTGTATTTCCTCGGCTGTTTGTGTTCCGAGGTTGGTGATGGGTGACGGGCCTGCTGCTTTTCCTGTCCCTGCCTTCCAAGGTGGCACCTCTGGAGCAAAGAGGGTGGGGAATGGGGCAGTGAAAACCTCATCTGAACTGCTTGGTTTGGCTGGAATGTGTGAACCTGTGTTGGACTTGTTGCCACCGGCCGCAGCTGGTCCCAGGACTGTGGGAGGGCTGAGTTGTGGAGGGGTCGTACCGATGGTGAAGTAGTTTCAGTGGAGAGGTCATGGGTGCCAGATGCTAGTCATCTCTGGCGGCTCCTAAAATGGGAGAACCCTCTTTCCTCCAGGTCTCTCCGAGGCCCACAGGCTCAGCCTCCCTCTGCCCTGACTTTAAATGCTCCTGTTGTAGCAGCACAGGGAGCTCCCCTGCAAGCCAACCCCCGTTCCGGCTCCCACTGCCTTCCCCATGGAACTGAGCGGCAAGCTTAGGAATAGGAAGGATGCTGAAAGTTCTGCGGGGACAACGGCAAGCTGTGATCCCGCTGGTCCCTGTCCAGCCAGCGTCTTGCTCCAGGACAGGGCTGGCACGAGAGGGCCACAGACAGCTGCCTCCGATGGTGAATAAAGTTTAATGAGATGCTGTACCACAGCGGCAGAGCTGACTGCAAAGCCTAAAATATTTACTCTGTGGCCCTTTAAGAAAAGGTTTGCCAACCCCGCTCTAGGGCAGAGAACTGAGAAAGATCATTTTTTTAAAATGAGCTGAGATGAGAGAGGGTTTTCACATGCTAATGACACATAACACGATGGTGTCGGAGCGTGAGCAGGAATGGACACTTGTCCATGGTCCCTGTCCTCATTGCTTCCTAGTGACTGGCTGTCAGAGCTCCTTGACAGGTGAGTTCTGGGACTTGCTGTCTCCTCTCACTGGAGGCCAGCGTGGGTTTTCTCGAGTTTCACGCCTCAGGCTCATGACTGACGTGTTCCGACGGGCAGGTCTGAGTTTTTAGTGCTGATCTCTCTCCCTGTGGTCAGGATAGGAAAGAGGTGTTTATAATCTCCGGTATAAACACCAAAAAGCAAAGAGCGTGAGAACTGAAGTGTGTTGGTGTGCATATTCTAGACCTTGACTTTGGTCTCGCAGGGAAGTGCCTGATCAAAGTCATTTTTATTTCCAAGGGCTAAGCTAAGAGTAAACCAAAAAGTCAGATATTAAAAAAAGAGATGGTGAAAGACTTCTTTCCTGTCCGCAGAGGGAACGGCCACCGCCTCCAGCCAAGCCCCCGCCGGACGAGGAGGAGGAAGACCCCGTGGACAAGAAGCATTTTCCCCCGCCACCGGCTTCTGAGGTACAGGTTCGACGTGTTCCCACCACTCAAGTACGGCTTGTTGGAAAGGGCATCCGTGTGTGCTTAACGACTGTGCTTTCTCATTTCTTGTCACCTCTTCGGATTAGTAAACTTGAATCATGTATATCAGTAATGTGGAACAAGCCCTTTCAAACTCACTCAGTACTAAGCAAAGAATTGTAATGCGGTCCCCTAGCAGCCAGCCAGCTGCTGCTCCGGCCAGCCCCGAGCAAGCAGAGCTGAGCAGAGCAGCACATTATCTCCTGGCTCTGGTGGGCTAACCGGTCACGCTTTAGGCTCTTGCACCTGTGTTGTCTTTTGACATGAAACCTAGAGTACCCCTGCTCACTGCTCCCTGGACTGTGTTACATGAATAGGCTTTGATGGTTTGTCCCAAGCGGCTTACTTCTGTTTTTGCATTTCCCCCCTTCGTTTCACGTGAAGAGTCTGCACCAGGACCATTGTGGAGAAGGTGGCAGAATGTGACGAAGATTCCGTTAGGAGAGAAATTGGCAGGGGGTGGGGGTTGAGGGGTGGGGGGACATTCAAAGAAGGTGATTTTAAAATAATAGCCAGTTTTAAAAATACATATATTTATTGATGTCAGAGAGGATGGGAGAAAGGAGAGAGAAATAAAAGCATCAATGATGATGAGAAAGAATCATTGATCAGCTGCCTCCTGTACGCCTCACACTGAGGATTGAGCCTACAACCTGTGCATGAGCCCTGATTGGGAATCGAACCATGACCTCCTGGTTCATAGGTTGACTCTCAACCACTGAGCCACGCTGGCTGGGCAAGAATAGTTACTTGGGGGGAAAAAATTTTCATGGGGTAAACATTTCAATCTTCTCACTTAGATCATATTTTCCTTTATCTTCCACCCTCAAAGTGTTCCTTTAACTCTTCCTACCATTTATTTATTTATTTAAAAATATATATATTTTATTGATTTTTTACGGAGAGGAAGAGAGAGGGATAGAGAGCTAGAAACATCGATGAGAGAGAAACATCGACCAGCCGCCTCCTGCACACCCCCCACCGGGGATGTGCCCGCAACCAATGTACATGCCCTTGACCGGAATCGAACCCGGGACCCTCAGTCCGCAGACCAACGCTTTACCACTGAACCAAACCGGCTTCGGCTCTTCCTACCATTTAGAGAGTGTTTATTGAGTATTTATTTAAAATTATTACATAATATCAGGAGTTTATTTTGTAGCTCAAAGCCCTGGTTTACTTTATTTTAAATTTTTAGCTAATTAAGCTAGTCAAACAAGTCTCATTCTTTTATCCCTAGAAGTAGGAGTTAATTTTTTTCACAGTACTGCCATGGACCATCCAGAAAAATGGGTTCTTTTGTTTAATGTGAACGTATAGAACCAGAAGAATGGCTTTAGTTTAACAAAATGTATAAATGCAAGGAAGCCCTTTTAAGAATGTGAGTCAGTGTTGGAGATAGGAGATGATTGCTATGCTACGTACAAATTCTGTCCTCATTTCTTTCTATCCCTTAATTACAAAATGCTAATTACCATGTCTCACCTAAAGGGGTCTCTAGCCTCTGGGGTGGTCACTCCCCGGAGCAGACAGGAGTATGTGCAGCAAGTTCTGTGTGCTTTTATGTAGAGGTTTGCCTCATTTCTCCCTCTCTACTGGAGACGCTTGGTGATCTGGAGCACATTGGGCTGGGCGTGGGGCTCTATAACAAGGACTTGAATTAAAATTCCTAAGGCGCAAGGATAAGGCGAGGCTCTTAAAGTGTCGCATAATCAGAACATTCTATTCTCCTGACTTTCTAGAGCAGACACTTTGGCGCTAACACAGTGCCGAGAGGTGGGGGGAAACCTCCACGCTGCGCTCCTGGATTGGAGACTCCAGTGATAAGTCTGCTAGGACTTGCTCAGGGTAGCTTGGGATGCTGGGTCAGTTGGGCCACCAGAGTCCGTCTCGGAAGGCTGTGATGACTGGCCTGACTTGCCCAATGATGGGCAAGTGTCTGAGTATAGAGGCGATACCTCTGAGTCACTGGCCTTTTAGTGACCAAGGCAGGTCCTGTTGACTGTAATCAGAAGGGATTATCTTCTCCAAAAGTGGACTTTTTGTTTTTGTTTTACTCTAGTCTTCACCATTTTTATTTACTTATTTATTAAATCTTTTTTTTTTTTTTCTATCCTCACTTGATATTTTTCCATTGATTTTTAGAGAAAGTGACAGAGAGACCAGCTGGTGTGGCTCAGTGGTTGAGCGTTTACCTATGAACAAGGAGGTCACAGTTCAGTTCCTGGTCAAGGCACATGCCCGGTTGTGGACTCGATCCTCAATGGAGCGTGCAGGAGGCAGCCAATCAGTGATTCTTATCATTGATGTTTCTAGCTCTCTCTCCCTCTCCCTTCCTCTCTGAAATAAATAAAAATATATTAGAGATAGTGGAAGAGAAAGAGAAAGACAGAGAGAAATGTTGATGTGAGAGTAGTACATCGATTAGTTGCCTGCTGAATGTGCTCCAATCAGGGCCCAGGCCGGGGAGGAGCCCGTAACCGAGGTACATGCCCTTGACTGGAACCGAACCCGGGACCCTTCAGTCTGCAGGCTGACACATTATCCACTGAGCCAAACCAGCCAGGGCTGTTTTTATACTCAAATTTTTACTTCCCTAAACTTCATCTCCTATGAGGCAGTGACTTCATCCAAGTTTAGACTTCTGTATTTGGCCAGCAGTCTTTCCCAATGTTTGTGTCCTGGCTTGTCATTGAGAATGTTGCAGACCCACAGATTGAGAACCGCTGTCAGCGTTCACCTAAGACCAACAGAAAACACAGATATTTACATTACGATCCATAACAGTAGCAAAATTACAGTTATGAAGTAGCAATGAAAATAATTTTATGGTTGGGGGTCACCACAACATGAGGAGCTGTATTAGAGGGTTGTGGCATCAGGAAGGCTGAGAACCACTGCTTTAAGGGATGCTGAGCATACCTGGCTCCGGGAGAGCTCATCGGAGCACTGGTCCTTTAAGCACATGCCCCTGTGCGCACACTGCATAGAGGTGTCTGCCCACAAGGTGGGCTGCCAGCTGCACGGGGCTGACCGTGCACGTCTCTGGGCTCAGCTGTGCTGAACGTCACGGAAGTGGCAGCTGCTATGGTGTCTCTTCCCAGAAAGCTGCCGGCGCCCAGCTGGCTGTCCCGTTGGCCAGTTGGGTGGTGGCAGCATTTCTCTGCGGCGGGATGCTGCTTTCTATAGAGCAGAGAACAGTGCGGTTGTGTGGTTTTTGGCTTAGGGTATTGCCAGCCTTGGAAGAAGCGGGGAAGATTAAGTAGTAACTTAGTAAAGAGCAGAATCCTTCCAGGTGGAAATTGGTGACTGCCGTACTCGCTGGGACACAGGGCTTCCTGAGTGGATGCTGGGAAGCAGCTGATTGCTTTCCTGTGAGATGTTAGGCCTGGAGCTGGCAGGGGCCAGGACAAAGAAGAAATCTCACCCTGCCAGTTATCTGGTGTGAGTGGGGGCTCTCAGACATCTAAGGGGTTGCCTTCCAAACTGGAGGGAGACACCAGACTTCCCGGGAAAAGTGGGGCCAACTTGGACCAGAGTCAGAGGGTGGTTATATGGGAGCTCTCTGTGGAACCCGGGAAGTCCCTAGGCCTCTCTGGGAACTGGGTTTCGGCATCTGCAGGATGAAAGAGCTGGGCCAGGTGCTCTCTGGCTATGACGACCGGGGCGGGTCCTTCTCAGGGGCAGGGTGGGGTGCATGAGAGCCCCTGCCCTGCAGGACACTCAGAGTCAGCGTCCAGCCTCTGCTGCCCTACGGGGTGAGAACCCGGGTGTACACCTCGGGACACAGGTTCCTATGTGCGCAGCCTGTGATATTGACACTGAATGAACTGCTTAATGGCCCTCTTTATTCCCTTAATTGTGTCCCTGGGAAGAGGCAGAGAAACACATAACAGGCCAATGGCTCCTTGTAATGAAACAGCTCTGGCTCCTGCTGTGCCTTCCACAGCCTTGGACAGGAGCTCTTCGAGTGGCAGCCTGGTTACCACCCTGGGTCGGCTCTCATTTCTCTGATCCTTGCCATCTCCTTAGGCGGAACCGGTGAGCTGTGCCTCCGGGAAGCAGAGATGAGTCACATACCAAGTCGGATTGGTGAGCTGTGCCACATGGCAGTAAAGAGGGTTCTGTGTGGTCAGAGAATCCAATTCATGAAGAACCACTGTTTGTACAGTGGACGGGGAGCCCTCCTCTTCCCTCGTTCACAGTGTGCGCTTGTCCTGGAGAGGCTGCTCAACAGGGGACTGTGCTTTGGTTTGCTCTCCTAAGAGCTGGTACACGGTCAATCATTTGTAATTTGCCTGTGAAACTGTTGGATTCTTAGGACAGATGAGCCAGAATTATGCTCTGAACCCAGAAGTCTCCTTCTTTCCCCTGAGCAGCCGTAGCACTAATCCTGGTGTTTCTGGCTCTACTCGAGCTTTGCTGCTCTGGCCCCGTGGCTGTGGCCACCCGCCCTCGGCTGAGGGAGCCAGTCAGCAGTGCAGGAACAGCTCTGGTCCAGTTCCTGCATTAGACTTATGGCTGCCTGGACCAGGGCTTTCTGAGCTGCCTTTTCTCCACTGAACCACTACTGTCTCGCCACTCGACTATTTCCAGAACAAAGATGGCTGGAATTAATTTAAAATATCTTCTATGTATATAAAAGGCTAATATGCAAAGTGTCCCCTCGGGAGTTCGACCAGGAGACTGAGTGTTCGATCCTTTGCTATGATGTGTGCTGACCACCAGGGGGCAGCGTGGAACGAAGGAAGGCCCTGGCTGGTAGCTAGAAGGCCCTGATTGGCCAGGAATAGGGACCTTACCCGTGCACAAATTTTGTGCACCAGGCCTCTAGTCTATACTAATAATAGCCTAGGTGGTTGTCACCCCCTCATGCATCACGCCCTAATGTCGTTACAAGATGGCTGTCACAAAATGGCCACATGCACAGCGGAGACGGGACTCGGTGGAAGAGGTGGGTCATGGCAGGGGAGAGCAATTGGGGGCAATCAGGCTGGCAGGGGAGCAGTTAGGCATCAATTAGGCCGGCAGGGGAGCCATTAGGCGGAGATCAGGCTGGCAGGCAGAAGCAGTAAGAGGCAATTAGACAGGCAAGCAGGCGAGCGGTTAGGAGTCAGTGGTCAGGAGTCAGCGATCCCGGATTGTGAGGGGGATGTCTGACTGCCGGTTTAGGCCCAATCCCACAGGGCCTAAGCCAGCAGTCGGGCATCTCCTGAGGGGTTCCAGATTGGAGAAGGTTCAGCCCAGGCTGAAGGGCACCCCCCCACCCCACATGCGGGAATTTCATGCACTGGACCACTAGTGCTACCATAAACGCAGTGGAAGCTGGCTTTGAGGACCGTGCAGAAAGGCTGCAGAAATAGAGGACTCACAGAGCACTTCGTCCCTGTGAATGTCAGACCCGCTGGAGAAGGTGGGAGGGACTCCAGCCTCAGGTGGTCCCTGTGCCTTTAGGCGGAGATCTGGAGAAAGAAGGCCTTTGGAGTACGCTGGGAAGTAGCCATGAAAAGAGATCGTGCAGGTCACAGTGGAAATGGGGAGGGCCATCTTGGATTTATTATGGTTTTTTGAAAGATAAATTGTGGTAAGGAGGGGCCTTTGCCATGTGACGTCCCGGTGTATATCCACAAGAGCAGTGACCCATGGACGCTTGACTCCTTGACCTCTTCCCCTCCTCTCCTCTCAGGTGAAGAAGGAACCAGTAACCTCAGATTTGTCCAGCATAACCTGCTGGGCTGTAGCCACGGCATGAAAAGTCTGGGTGTTTTCTCTCTTAGGTCTTGGCCATGCGAGCCCGGGTTCAGGAGGGCACAGCCAGGGAGGAGGAGGAGGAGCATCCGTATGAGCTGCTGTTAACGGCGGAAACAAAGAAGCTGCCAGCAGTGGACGGAAAAACAAAAGGTACACCCCCCCCCCCCCCAGCAGAAACAGCGCTAAAGGGATTTGTACAGCTTGTGCTGGGTGGAAGGCGGTGATGCTGTTCCCTGCAGCCTGGGTGGGGGGTGCTCCTTCCCTTGTCAGTGCAGGGAGGGGTCTGCTTGTGGCTCTCTGCACAGGAAGCAGGGGAAAGGTTAGGTGGGGCCAGGTGTGGCCCGGACAGACCGCCCCCTTGTGGCAGGGATAGATTTGGGGGCTCAAGTCATAAACCCTCAAGTTAATGCTGTGAAAAAACAAGTCCAACAAGTCCGTCCCTTTGGGTTCAGGCTGATGGCACAGACGCGGCTTTGAGTCCTGACCTCAGACTGAGGCACTCAGTGGGGGCCATGATTGGCTGCCACCAGGTAACTGGAGTGCTCTGTCGCCTTGGCCTACTTTCATTGCCGCTGCAAATCCAGCTTCCTCTGTGAGGGAGTGAGGGCTGCGGGCCGGGATCCAGCCAGGCCTGCGAACACGGTCACGGTGACAGAGGTGAGTGCGCCCTGCCAGGCAGCCCGTGACCGCCTCCAGGAGGAGCAGGAAGGGCAGGGCACTTCCCTGCAGCACAGGCAGCAGGGAGCTCTGGTCTCCTCCGCTCTCTGCCGCTTGCAGGGAGAGGCCCGTCACGGGGTAGCATTGGTGTCTCCTTCCAATCCCAGGACAGCCCCTGGTTCAGGTAAGAAGGGGGGATTCTTTAGAAGTTCCCTTTGCTAGGCTTGTCAGGAAGTGGGGGAGGCAGAGAGAACATGTGCCTATGTGGGTGATATTGTGGATCTTCATTTTAAAGATCCTGGTTAGCCGTAGTCGATTTGGCTCAGTGGATAGAGCACTGACCTAGGGACTGAAGGTTCCTGGGTTCAAGTCCTGTCAAGGGCACATGCCCTGGTTGCATGGGGGTGTGCTGTAGGCAGCCAATCAATGATTTTCTCTCATCATTGATGTTTCTCTCTCCCCCTCTCCTTTTCTCTCTGAATTCAATAAAAATATATTAAAAATTAGAGATCCTATTTAAAAGGTTTCTCTCTGGCTTGCAGAAACTCTGTGAGGTTTTTAATTTTGCTTTGTTTTTTGGTTTCCATTGGAGCTTTTTTTTTTTTTTTTTTTTTTTTTTTTTTTTTTTAAAAGATTATCGTTTAGACATAGTAAATTTCATCCTTTTCTGGGTAGTTCTGTAAGTTTTGACAGATAAAGTCTTGTACTTGCTACCATAATCAAGATATAGGACAGTTTCATCACAGCAAAAACATCTGTGTGCCTTCATAGTCACGCCTGTGACTTCCCTGGTGCCTGGCAGTCCCCACTCTGATGTCCTCATCATTTTTCCTTTTCTAGAATGTCACATAATGGAATCTGTATGTATCCTTTAAGTCTGGCCTTTGCAGTTAGCAGGATTCATAGCTATTCATCCATGTTGTTGCATATATCCATCCGTATTTGTGCTTTTCATTGCTAAGGAGTAGTCCTTTGTACCACAGTTTACCCATTTTCTAGTTGAAGGACATTTGCTTCAGTTACAGTTTGGGAAAATAACAAAGAAAGCTATTATGAATATTTACGTACAGATTTCTGTGTTAACCTAGGTTTTATTTCCCTTGGATAAACACAGCTCTTTCTCTCTTCTGAAGGCTTGGTCTCGAACTCTGACAAGGTAGTGGGCTCAGCCTTTGGAAGGAAGCAAAAGGAAAGTCAGTGAACTTTAAAGAGGGGGCCAGTCTGCTTGGCTGCAGGTGCCCTGGGTGGGGATTTGCTTTCCCCAGAAGGACAGGCCTCGGATTAAGAAGGGAACTTGCCGCCAAAGAGAACTGCAGCCTTGCATCTAGTCCTGTTCGTGGGCTGCTTCCAGCCCTGCTGTGGTGCGGGGCTGCTGTTGGGAGTGGGTGGCCCGGGGAGCAGGGTTAACTGAGCCACAGCAGGCTTGCTGCTGGGGTCCAGCACTGAATATGAAAACAGACTCTACGGGTTTCTCAGTAGCCTGGGAGGAATGTCCACCAGGGATGGGCACAGTGAGGCAAATCGTTTTCCGCCAATGTCAGGACCTTAGGCAGCTTTTATGAATTAAAATACCAATTTTTAAAAGGTCATGTTAATGAGACTACCAGAGCTTTCAGACTTCTAAGAAACTATAGCATGAGGGGTGGGATGTGAGATTTTTTAAAAATTGCATTTGTATTAGCACACTGGGAAAAATTTGAAAAGATACAGAAGTGAATACAAATAAAACATTCAGATTCTCCTTGCCTCTCTGCTGCTCACAGTTGCCAGAGGCGGCCACAGTGGGAAAGTGTGGTGTATACTCTGGGCCATTGGCTATTTTTATACAAAAGCAACTGTGTGAGATTGTTTTATGTATTTCCGACCTAAAATGGGGTCATATTTTACAAACTTGTGTTTTTTTTTTACCATGTTTATAGATTATGAGTACAATTTTGTCTTAACAGTCTACCTTATTCTTTTTTAATGGTTAAATACCCCATGACTCCTTTTCCCATTCGCCATGATGGATGTTTCAGTTGCCTCCAGGATTTCTCTGTGATAAATTATACTGCTGTGGACATTCCATATACATATTCTTACATGCTTATAAGAATGTTTCTTGCTCTGACCGGTTTGGCTCAGTGGATAGAGCGTTGGCCTGCGGACTCAGGGGTCCAAGGTTCGATTCCAGTCCAGGGCATTATTCTTGGTTGCTGGCACATTCCTAGTGGGGGATGTGCAGGGGACAGCTGATCAATGTTTCTCTCTCATCGTCAATGTTTCTGACTTTCTATCCCTCTCCCTTTCTCTCTGTAAAAAATCAATAAAATATATTTTTTAAAAATATAGTGTTTCTTAAAAGACGGATAGAAAGGAGGTTAGTCAGCCAGGGAAGGTGCATGTCTGGGTCTAATTGGTGGAGCTAAATTATTCCTTCAGTGGTGATTGAGCTCACTCTTCCCCACCTTCACCGGCACATTATTCCTCTAATGTTTTTCACCATGTTGAGCAAGGAGTGTCTTTTGAAATTGGTATTTGCATAATTAGTGAAATTGAGCATCTTGTCAATTAGTGTTATATATTTGGTCTGCAAGTTGTCAACTTTTTCTCTCGATTTTACTACTTAGAAATTATTGTTGGTGGAAACACTTCATATAAGTACTGATAATATTTTGCCAAAGTGATACTTAGAGGAAAGTTTATACCCTTAAATTTATTTGTTTTAAAAATGAGGAAGACTAAAACTTAACCAAGAGAAAGTAGCAGAGAGTAATTAACAAAAATAAAGCAAGTCATTTACTTCACATACTTTATGGTATGCACATTACACTTCAGTTAAATAAAGAAAAAATAAAGGCAGAGTTAACGAAGTGAAAAAAACAGCAATAGGCTTTATCATTACAATGAAAACTTGTTTGTAGTTTAAAAGATGTCTGACAATTCTGATCAAGAAAAGAGAAATAAAACAATACATTAGAATTATATAAAGAATATATAAGCACAATTTAGACATTGTAAAAAGTAATACTCTGTAATGTTTTACACTAATGTAAGAATATGCAGAAACCTGCATATAGTTAAAAACTACACAGTAAATTGCTAAAATACTTTTCCAAAACACACATAATAAAAATAATGAGGGAGTTGATAGAAATAAATGTTACGCGGTTAGTTGCTGCTGCTGCCATCCCCCTGGGGTAGATGCTCGGGAGAGTGAGTGGGCACCATAGGGGCAGGCTGAGCTAGGGTCCCACTGGCATTTCGTTGCTAGCGACCAGGAACGCTCAGCATCTTACACTGTGCAGGACAGTCCTCACAGTGAGAACTTCCCCGCCCAGACGGCCATCGGTGTCTGCAGATGTGACAGATCCGACAGAAGCAGAAAGCTCCGTCGAGATCCAAGGAGCAGAAGACTCATCCCCCCAGACAGGCACTGGGCCATGGTTTGCGGCAGTTTCATCCAGCGGGTATTCCTCTGCTGTTAAAGTGCTTCAGATGCGGGGGAAGTCTTCTGAGCCATTGTTCAGCGCGAGCACAAGGGAGAGCATGCTTCCTGTTTCCTGTAGCCTCATCACTTATTTCTCTTCAGTGTTTAACACACTGCTGCCCGGAGAGACAGTGGGCAGGTTTCACAGCAAGAGGGACAGTGGCCGGGAGCCCTGGAAGTCACTCTCTGTACTTGTCGGCAGCACGAGGGCCCCTTAGCTCGGCACCATGACGAGTGTGCTCATTGGCACAGCTACACGGCGGAGGCAGTGCTCCTGAGAGCTGTGCATTCAGGGCTGCGTGAAGTTTGTGTACGAGGATCGAGACCTTTATCCTCAGGAGGGAAGGGGAAGAAAACGTACTTTAGCTTCTTCCTCCACTCCCACATCCTGAGCTGCCTGTTGTACAGTGTAAGTCCGGGCGTTTCCCTTGGCCAGCTTGGGGTTCTCGGCGTGCTTCCATCGGATGCAGGAGGGAGATCAAATAGATGCCTGTGCTCAGTCCACCATCTTTACCTCGGCGTCCAGTCTAGCTTTTCCTAGTAGTTTCCAGGGAGTAAGTTTGGGTGCTTTGCCAAAAGGCAAAAAATGTACACGATAGTTTCGCAGTGAAGCCTTAATTCCAGCAGCTTCCTCTTCTCTCACCTTCTTGCATGCGAGGAGCTCCTGCCAGAAGCCCCACTGGAAAGCTGTCTTGCTTTTTCCGTTTATACTTCTAAGGTGGAATTGTTCACCTTTCTTCCTTTATCAAACAAGCCTAAGCCTGTGAACTGCATATATGTACTTTCCTCCACCAAATGTATCGACAGCCATTTATTAAAATTTTAAATATTTTTTATTTTTTTTCAGAGAGGAAGGGAAGGGGAGAGAGAGCTAGAAACATCAGTGATGACAGAGAATCATTGATTGGCTGCCCCCTGCATACCCTACACTGGGAATTGAGCCCCCCACCCAGGCATGTGCCCTGACCAGGAATTGAACCATGACCTGGTTTATAGGTTGTCACTCAGTCACTGAGCTATGCTG